CTCACATCCCCCACCTAACCTGAGCATTGTCTGTGGTTCGACTGTTATTGCCCCGTCTGACGAAGTTAAGTATCTAGGACTGACTCTCGATTCAACTTTAAGTTTCAGTGCCCACGTTAACTCCCTCAGGGAAGACATCGGAAAGAAACTAGGTGCTTTTCGACGTGGAAGGAGGAACCTTGCTGTCCAGGCCAGAAGGCAGTTCTACTTGTCAGTAGTCCAGAGCAAGCTCGAGTACGCCTGCACTGCCTATGTCCACTGCCTCGCTGACAATGTGAGAGATCAGCTGCTACGCATAAGTAAGAGAGCACTTAGATGCATATTTGAGCATGACACATTCACGCGGACATCATACTTGCTTGAGCGATACCACATAATTAGCTTAGACAAAAGATATCATACTAAGTCCATATTCTTCGTGTTCCGTTGCATCCACAATATCTGCAGTTCACTCCTCTCTGACATGTTCTCCCTTCGCCGTGACTGCGCTCACACAGACAGAGTAACCCGCGGCCAAGTCAATTATTCCCTTTCCTTACCCATTGTGCAAGCCCAAGCTGGATACAGATCTATTTCATTCCTTGGTGCTGACCGCTTTAATGCGCTTCCCGAATCCCTTCGCACAAATCATATCCCCAATTCATTTCGCCAGGAACTTAACAATTTCATTCATCTTGGGCACCCTGTAAGAAGACCTTAGGGTCTGTTGGGAATGCCCAAGTAAAATAATAAAATACAATACAATACAATACAAATACATCAGCTGGAACAGAAATGACCAAACCTTTGACAATCCTTCTGACATTGAGGGCGGAGTGACTCAAGAAGTGGCACTTCTTGTTTTGTGCATCTGTCACTTGGCAGATCTTCACATAATCATTGACGTCTTTTAGCCAAAGATCAAAGCAGTGCCACCCTTCTTCATTACTACGGGACGTCCGAACAGTTTCCTGCAGCCACGGAGACACATAGTACAATACCTAAGTAGCGAGAAAGACAACTTACATCGAACATAGGCCATGATGTGACAATACTGCTCGGACTTCTTTGCTGCCAGAAGAGCGGCCACCGTTGTGTACAATGCCGATGCCACCTTCCCCATCCCTCCACTTGCCGCCATCACCACTGGAACGAAAGATGCCTGCTCCACGTTCCTGACACGTTCCTCATAATGTCGTCTTTTCTCTTTCTCGTGGCGCTGGCACACAGTGGCACGTGGTGCAGATCGATTTGAGCGAGCATATGGGTTGAACACCCGAACATCAAGAAGGGTTCGCTCAAATCGACTGCCCCACAAACCACTGGCATCCACATCCAGTCGTGCATGATTCTCCACTTTAGCAGTACAATATCTCAACTGCGCACCAGTCGACGGCTGCAACACAGGGTCATTCGAGATATTCGAGCACACCTGATCCAACAACTGGGCAGTTGTGTCCTGGATAGCGCTATGTCTCATCGACGGGAAACCTCCAAGGGGACATGAAAGCGAGTGCGTCGCATTGACTTCATGGCCATAGGAGCAATGGGATGGAAGCCTTGCAGGTGTCCACCCATAACGGAGGCACAACCCATCCCAAAACTCCTGTTTACTGAGACTAAAGCCATACTTCCGCAATGGGTGACACATTAACCAGCTCGACGATGCCTTCTCACACGCAACATCAATGTTGTTGCTCAGGGCCTCGGAGGAATTGCTCATCACCGCCTCCATCCCAGCAATTACACCATGTATTCGAGCCAACTCGAGGTGAGCTCGAAGAGAGCGCGAGCGGAAGAGACCGACGAAAAATGGGTGTTCCCAGTCGCGGGCGCAAGGAAACACGATGAAGAATGATGACGCAGAAGCAGCGCTTATCGAACTAAAGAGATGGAATGAATATCTCCCCAACTACGGGAAAGGAATACAGCAATCTGAGCACGAGAAGCAGCAGCAGGCAGCTCAGCAAACAGCCACGGCCAAAACCGCCAAGCGATCTGGGAACCAGCAGCTCGCAAGAAGTCAGAGCTCAAACCAGAGCTCAGAAAATCCTAACCTACCTCTAGCTAGTCATTCGCAACTTCTTTGAGAGGTCGTTCCTTTACCATAGAGTACATTTTTCTTGAGCTGATCACTGTGCAGGGGCGTAGCAGCCGCTCCGGCCGGTCCGGCTTTGGCCGGACCACTTTTTCGCCCGACCACGACCACCATAGTAAAACAATGCCAAAAGTGCCCAGAATGCAGGATTTTGCACCCTAATTTCGAAAAAATTACGGGCGGAGATCCCCCCGGCCGGACCACCGCCAACGGCGGTGCTACGCGCCTGCTGTGTCAGTGTAGTGAGCTGGCAGGAATGCAATGATTACTGGAATAGCAAGGGACTATCGCATACAGCAGTGTGGATGTAAATGAAAATACATCATGAAAGTGTAGGTACGGAACATGTAGTAGAATGCATCTAGGTGGTGTAAGAACAACACAGTCACTATCACCACAGAACGGACGGAAAGTTTACACGTGTAGATCATCAAAACATACGTAGATCCTCTGGTTGCGAGCAGGGTTACAAATCAGATTGAGAGAGTCGTTAGCAGGAGACCAAGAGCGAGTCATAGGCGGATAGCGCGAATCATGAAACCAAACAAATTTTCAGAACGACTTTTGCTAGCTTGTGGCGGTTCTTCCAATGCCAGCTTGGTTCTCCATTGCAGCATAGCATGAACTAATCATACACAATCTCAGGACAGGATATTCCATGCATGATAGACTTAGTTGGGTGATTTCTCTGGAAAATGATAGCTGTGCAGGGTTCTAGCCAGGTCCATAGAGTAGGGGGCAGGCATGGGAAAAAGTTACCCCGTGATCCATTTTTTCCATTGTCCAAAATTGTCTTGCCATGCAAAATGCAACATACAGGGTGAACCCCGACTTCGCCCCTCACGAATGTGCCTTTATGAACCCTCTAGTAGTGACTATCGACTGTATTTTCGTTGAATGGCGTGAAAAAACTCAAAAATCGGAAAATGAGTAGCTGGCGGCACTTTTTCACAGGGGGGCGCGCAAACGGAGTACGAGTAGGGGGGGGGGGGGGGGCGCTGCGCCCCCTTTGGATAGAACCCTGCTGTATATAGAGGCTATGCTATTATATCATCGGTTGAGATGCTTTGGCAAAGTCACGGACTAGCCACTCACGCTGTATACTTAGCACCCAGTCGAAAATTTGCTGAATCACCCCATGATACCATTCGCCGCATAACCTCTATACTAATAGTCTTATACTATAAACACAGTAAAACCTGGGTAAGAAGAACACTGATAGCTCAAGCTCCTGCTTTAGAAGAACTAACCCTTTTGGATAAATAAATGTCACAGTGGGTGTCCACTGGCTATAAAATATTATGAGAAGATTGCGACAATTAGAGTTACCATTTGCAGTTCGAATTTCGTATAAGGTTTCGCTCGGCCGAGTTCCGAAAAAGTGGCGTGACAGAAATCCGGTGCTAGCTTTCTTTTGCAGATCGAAAATCTGGTTTCGTGGCTTTCGCTCGCTAGCGCTGCCAGAAAGAAATTCAAACAGTCTTTTACGCTATTCTCATGGTGTCAGAGGAAAGGACGCACTCCTTTCTCTTACTGCAGTATCCTCATAGACAGGAGAACCACGTACAAATGGTATTCTCCCGAGCCCGCAGTTGGCGAAGAAGGATGAGGTCCATGGCCAAATAGAAATGTGTCCTCGGCTTAGAGGATTCCTTTGTTGGAACTGAGCTTGGCAAGTTGAAAGAATCCACTGCCCCCAACGAAGACGCAGTGGGTGTCGTGGGCGCCCCAGGGCTCGAGGATGAAGAGCCATGCACAGGAGAGGAAGACGGACAAGAAGAACTAATGCTTGATCGTGAAGCTGCACTGTTTGCCACTGCTGACACTAACAAACAACAAGAAATACCCCCGCAGGACAAAGAGACAGAAAAAGAGTACTTCGAAGTACAACTTGCACTCAGGAAGAAGTCAAATACCAACTCCCTGCTTGCACTTGATCGTGCGGGCACACCAAAAACAACTTTCGGCCAGACTGCCTGTTTCGCGAAGTTCTGGACGAATCTTCGGATAGACGTTCTGTCCTCTGAGCCGGGCTTCGAAAATTTCACCGAAATTCGGACTGCAAAAGGTCTCTAATATCATCGGTCCATTGGTGTTCGTCCTGAAGAGGTTTTACGCTACTCAAAGTACTGTGAAGGTACTTAAATCTACAAATGTTTGGCACGTATAAATGTCGGCCTCCCAAGGCTAAAACACATTTCGGCCGCATAAAAATTTCGGCCCGTACTGCTGCCGCCTGTATACACTGTCACACTGAACCTTGCAAAACAAAATTTCGGCCGCAACACATTTTCGGCCTAGAAAGCCCAGGCCGAATATACCCGAAACCAAGAGTAGATAAACAAGAGTGTGCACCTCCAGATCTCTTCTGCACAATCTGCAGATTCACCCGCCCACGGCGGCATTTCTTGTTGACGTCACCTGTTTTCAGAAAAACGCGCATCTTGCCGCAGAGCAGTGTGAGAGCACGTGCTGGGCACCGACCTTGTAATGTATGCCCGGCCAAGTGCACGAGGCAAAACTTTCCAAAAGACTCGCAGCGCGCGGGTCGTAGAAAAGATTACGTCAACAAACAATTCCGCCGTGGGCCAACCCATCCGGGAGTTGCACACTCTTGTAAATCTACTCTTGCCAAAAGTAAATATGCGCCGAATGTTTGTTGACTTACAGTTTGCTATTTCGTTACCGGTAGTCTGACCCGCCGCGGCCGGTGGGTTAGTGGAGAGCAACCATGCTCACACTGTACTTGTTAGCATGTACCGTATGTGAAGGGAATGCTGGTCACCTAATTCTAAATTACACCTGAAACCTGGCAGGTCCCTGGCACCGAAATTTTAACGCGTCTAAAATTACATGTTGTACAGGATGCACTGCTGCAGTTCCACTGGATGTGCGGAATGTGTGTACAATGCTCTTTCACCAGTTAACACCGAGTCTTCCCCTGCCGGCCGAGCACGCGCTGTTCCTGCAAGTCAGCTATCGCGGCTACGCCATGGCCGCCTGCCCCGTGCACAACCAACGCGGATGTCATCTCTACTACGGCCAGCCGTCGCCGTCACGGCCGCATGCTGCCATCGCAACACCTGGCACGGCTACAACGATGTCTTCCATGGCGGCGGCGGCGTCACGATCACGCCATGATACCGAGCATCTGCAGCAGCTCTGCTTACCGCGGATACAGGACAGTGATGGACGCTTCAAGTGGCCGCAGTTGCGACACGTCCTTCAACACTTCAGCCCTGGCATTTCATTTGAGGTAGGTAGGCATGTGTAGCAGGCAATTGGTCGTCTGTTTAAAAGGTCCATCCAGCATTATCGATAAGGCCACACATGTTTATTTCTATGTTACACGTCACTCGCGCGCATACGATTTAGGAGTCTGGAAGAAAAAAAAAGAAAAAAAACTGTGCTGCACTTGTGCACCCTGGTCTGGCCTGCGCGACACAATCATGTGAGGTACTTGTAGGTCGGCAGTTTTTGTTGCACAATCCAGCTGCACGTGCACAGACGCTCCTAGCACGTATACGGTATAGTACTACTGGTTGCTAGCTTTGGACGCCATTTTGGTCGGCTAGATGTTGAATGTGAAAAGACAATGATGATACGGGAGATCATTTTCACCTGCAACTTGGGGACGTGATTGAGGCAGTGGAAAGCTTCACATACCTGGGAGCACAGTTCGACATCTCCAGCAGGACAATAGCAGAGCTGACACGCCGTTTGACCCTGGCAAGACAGATCGTTAGCAGGCTGGTATCCGTTTGGAAATGCAAAAAATATCGAAGGGCATGATGTTATGACTGCTGCAGGCAACCGTGTTCTCCGTTGCCAGTTATGGCTTGGAGGCATGGGCACTAACAAAGAGAGCGGAAGACAGCATAGGCATTTGAATTTGGTGTGATCGGTGGTTACCGAGAGTGAAATGCTTTGAAAAGAAAACAAACAAGGATATCCTGGAGGAATTGGGCATGGAGAGACCAGTGTTAGCGGATAGAATCTGAGGCAGGAGACTCTGGTATTAGGGACATATTGCAAGGGGGTGTAGCCTGGAGAACGAAAAACACTGGGCTGCGAAATGATGCAATGCGCAAACTTGAGTGACATGACTGGATTTCATTGAGCAGCACTGTTGTGTTTATTATTTTGCTAAGGCAATCTCCACAGACTGTAAGCCTTGACGGATTTTTTTCAGGGTACACTGTCATCTGCATTGCACCCTGTGTATCCCAGGTAAATGGTGGCATGGTGATGGTACGTCGGCTATGTCCACTGCACGTCTTCTACTCCACCAACCTGGCCTCGGCACACAGCCAACAGCTACTACCGCTGCAGCAGCCGGTGCTCGTGTTCGACAATTCTGCGTTCGACAGGGAATTCCATGACTTTCGGCAAGTACACTATCACTGTGAAACATATCCCTTACTCTGCTTAGTCTCTAAGACTCCACAGTACCAAGAGTAACTTTAGAATAATAATTCATAATTATGTGTCCTTATTTTATGACTCGGGTGGAGAGCCAAGGATTAATTTATAAGAATAAAAGAGGACCAAGGAGCTACAAGTTATGCTATAAAGTCCACTAACACCACCACTTACTTTACAATTAGCTCATGCGATAACATTTCACGGCACTGACCAACGTTACTGACGTTCTACACCTAACTGACAATCAGCTCTAGCACATCTTGGATGCGCACTCCAACACCTTTCCAGCTTGGAAGGTTCTAAGTTATAGAAGGTTCTATAGTCTGTTTCAAAAAGATTTACAATCAGGCTTGGGTCTTAAAAAGTATGAAGATAAGGGAAATTTGGACAACAAAGTACATAGAATGGCTTGTTAGGACACGGCAAATTGTTCTGTGAAGGTTTCGGAACAATTGGACCAACCGTTAAGGAGTTAGAAGTTCGGCGAGGTTTCCGGCCTTTTCCCATGGTTTACAATTTGCCCAGGAAGCCAGTATTGATTGTTTATCAAAACCCACGATTTATCCTTTCCTTTTTGGCCTTGTGGTTATGAATGCTGTCTGCTGACCATGAAGTTGTGAGTTCAAATCCCAACCTATCCTCAAGTCAAACTTTTTTCATTGTTTTGGTGATCAAGCTGGTACAAGACAAAGAAGATGGCTGCACCAAACGACTTGTTGTTGGAGCTCGCGCTTCCTGCCGAACTGACTGACACTTGACTGGCTCACGCCATGTGAACACACCCACAACACTGCAATGGTGTGAGTGAATTATATGGAAATCATCGCGCAGTAGATTTTTGAGATTTATTTTAGTATTTCAAGATCGCCAATTTATTTGAATTTATCAGTCAACGCCGTCTTCTATCAGCGTTCACAAGCGTCTGCTTTTCTCAAAATGTCGTCGAAGTCACACGGATAGCTTTGCCAAGTCATGGCCTTGGGAATGAGTCCATGTCCATGTCGTTTTCGTCACACGGTGAGTAAATTGCATCGCAGCTCAAAGAAACTATTTTGGTCACAAAACGAATTGGGACCCATGCCGCTCGTCAACATTTACAACCGTGACTTTCGTTTCGACATGCCCTCTGACTCCATTATCGATACGAGGAAGAACTCGTTTGTTGTAAACCAGACATACATGACTGTATCAATGTGATCACATGTGAGTGAGTAGTCATTTTCCTGCTTTTCGCGCGGAATATTTCTTCGAGTTCACAGTGAGTTTTTCCAGGCAGCGATCGAGTGCTCATACGGTAAGACGCCAAACTCCGTGGGCGATCGCCAGGATTGCAAATCTTTTTGAAACGGACTGTAAGTCATAGAAATAGCATAGGAGGGGAAGGTGAGCGCAACCAAGACAAGCACGCGCTGAAAGTCTCAGCTGAAAGTCTGCAGAAAGTCTCAGGTTTGAAGGACTTTGGCGGATGTATGTCGAAGACGATACTGGCAAGACCATCAGACAAAACAGTCAAACCACAACTTCAAGGACGCATAGAAAGATTAGAAACATACCACACAACGTTTGTGGCTCTAAAGGTTCAAAGATCGAATCAGTTAGACGTAGAACGTCAGTACTGCTGGTCAGTGTCGTGCAATGTTATCGCATGAGCTGATTGTAAAGTAACTGGTGGTGTTAGTGGATATTTTAGCATAACTTGTAGCTCCTTGGTCCTCTATTCTTTTTCTTTTATGTGTCCTTACTTTTAACAAGATTTGCCTGTTGAAGAAAGACTTGCCTGCTCCAGAAAGCTAAGGCATCACCATGTCGGAGTGTGATTTCATTGCACCTATATTCGGCGTAAAGTTGGCAGGTAGGCCAGTGAGGTGCGAAAGCTCGTGCATATGGTCCTGCACAGTCCCCCAACGTTGCAACGGGCGCCGCTCCCGGCCTCCAGTGCTTGTACTGGATAGAGTGTGTTGCTAACGTATTCCTTTGAATGTGCTTCATAGGCAGAAACACTGAGCACTGAAAACATCTCGAGTCCATTGAGTGAATGGTGCAGTCAGACCTCGCTTATCCCGTCCTCTTTTGTCCGGATCCCTCACCATCCGGAAGAAATTTGTTAGTTTAATACCGATTTACAGCATATATCCTGTACACATACAGCATGTGTATTCGATTATCCGGTTCCCTCGCCTATCCGGATATTTGTGTGGAAAACAGACGTGTGCAGCGATACGAGGTATGACTCTGTAGTGCATTTTCAGATATGCTTGTGAGCCCATATCAGAGTTAGTGATTATCGCCACAAAAAGTGCGAGGCATTGTCTTCAGTGGACTTCATGAGTTGGAATTGTATGTACACATGCTGCCTGTGTGGTTTTACACAGGCAAACCCGAGAGGCAGCAGAGCCAGCCACACGCATCTACTTCAGCATTGGCGAGCAATTCCTGCCGGGCAGGTTCTCGGAGTGCCTGCTAACGGTCACCGTGACGATGAGCCGTGCCGAGGCCGTGCTCAGGGATTGGCGTGCGGCAGAGTGGAGTAGCGGTGCAGCTCAGCGAGCAGTTCTGATCGACAAGGTTGAACCAGCGGATTCTCCGATAGCAGTGACCACGGTGCATCACTGGTGAAAGGCTGTCTGGGGAATCTGCTACAACTGTAGGGTGTGCCAGTTTTGGTGCGATCAGCTAGGAGAAGACTCTGATGCTCTTCCTGAAAGAGTACTCGTGTGTGTGTGTGTGTGTGTGTGTGTGTGTGTGTGTGCGTGCGTGCCGCGGTGTGTGTGTGATGTGTACCTGTGTACGTACGTGTGTGTGTTTCGAGCGCAGAAGAATACTAGTTTGAGGTGTGCTGCGGCATGCAGATGTGTGCTGCGGCATGCAGATGTGTACAAGGCATACATACCATTCAAAGCATACTGTTATGAGATCACCATATTCGCTTTGTACGGTATGTTTCCGCACCAGAATCATCAATGCACACGTACATGTCAACGGGACAACAGCACATGCTGTGCCCACACATATACGTGTACTTCGACGTATCATACAGGCATCCTGTGACCCGGCCTCATCTTGATCCATAACAGGGACTTCAACACGACCGCATCCATGTCCATCTGACAGCAGAATCATTTTGGAGTAGACGCTTTGCTGATCACCCCTAGCAGAGCAACCTGTTGCAAGTTATGCAGTTTATTGCGGACTGAGCCAGTTGAAGCTGCTGCTGCTGCTGCTACACTGCAGGGACAGTGTGTACTTCAGTAGTGCTGTTAGCTGCTAGTACACAGCAGGGACAATGACTTGTAGTGCTGGTAGCTGCTATTGCATTGCAGAGATAGTGTGTAGTGCTGTTAGCTGCTATTACACTGCTGAGACAGTATGTTGTGATGTTAGCTGCTAGTACACAGCAGCGCGGACAGTATGACTTGCAGTGCTGTTAGCTGCTATTGCATTGCAGAGACAGTATGTAGTGCTGTTAGCTGCTACTACATTGCCGCTTGAGACAGTATGTAGTGTGTAGTGCTGTTATTAAAGCTCCTACTGCATGACGTATATTATTGTACATTGCAGAGACAGTGATAGCGCTGTTAGCTGCTGCCACTATGCAGAGACAGTGATAGCGCTGTAAGCTGCTGCCACTATGCAGAGACAGTGATAGCGCTGTAAGCTACTGCCACTATGCAGAGACAGTGATAGCGCTGTTAGCTGCTGCCACTATGCAGAGACAGGGTGTAGTAGTAGGCAATCAGCAAGAGTAGCTTTGAGACGCCATTATTCTTTCCACTTGGGACATCAGCAGCGGATGATCATCGCGAAAGGAAACCAGATTACCTTTTTTCTGTACTTTTTTTTACCAGGTTATCCTCTTTCCCTTCGGACGCTGGCAGCAGAAGAAAAATTATGCAAGGGAAATCATGCCTGCCAGGCTACACCCCCCCCCCCCCCTTTCTTCGCTATGGTATGGTGTATCCCTGTCATAGCTCTTTTATACTATGAATGTCAGCCTGCTCGACAGTATTTCCCAGCTGCAATGTCCACTTGTTTCCAGTTCACGTCCATAGTGCGTTTCAAAAGTATAGACTTTTTCGAATAATTCAAATTTGAGAACTCAGATGGTGATGGTGGTCAGTTTTGTGCTAGATTGTGCACGTCTGACTGTTCAAAATCTGGTTTAGTTGGTGGACTCGATCGCATAATTTGTGCCCACAATTTCCTTGTTACAATTGATTTGGTTTGAGCTTTTTGAGAAATTTCTTCGGACTATTGCTCAGGCAGCTCCCGCAATTTTTCTCATATAAATTTCTAAGCAATTGGATAAGAAATGCAAAATTTCGGAAATGTTATGCATAAAGTGATCACAGATTTTATGTGACATAGATGCTGGCCTAGAGGTCTGGACTTTTGAAACACGCATCTAGACGGAAGTTTTCCCATTCAGAGGCAGCGCTTCAACGGAACAACGTCTAGCCCCCGTTCCTTTTTTTAGGATTTGATCTTCGGTCCCCTCTCCGGATGCGTGATCACGCCCATTACCAGCTACACACCAGAAATATTGAAATTCTTGCACCGGTATCAGACTAGCGTAGTCCATGTCACGATATTGGTCACATGATTGGCCGCCGTGGAATAGGCCAATCATGGCGTGATCTGAGCGGGCAGCATGCACTGATAGAGCAACCGCTTGAAGGAGAGCCAAAAGCAGTGCTCCAGGGAACAAAAGAAAATAGAGCTCTAAACAGAAAACAGCGAGATCAGGACACACCGTCAGAATTGACGCTTGCTAGCAAAATAGAGAGAGAGAACACACCTCCATCCAAATAAGGAGTCTACCTACCGGTACTACCTAGCCATAAACAACACACTTGCCAGCAGAATGAAAATGGAAAGAGCCAGCCTCTGAATATACCCAAAACGTTAGGAAACTACTAAACACCTGTACTTAAATAAGAAGAGCCTATTGGAGAATAGATTATTAGAGTAAGAAAAGAGAAAGCACAGCCACAGAAGATCGCGACTCTCGTAAAAGATATATCAAGTATGGAAAGGCAACAACAGCACGCTGATGACACGAGTACGGCGGTTCTGGTTCGAAGACACCGGCCCAGGCGTGCAGTGGCGCTAATTCGAAGGGATTGAGTTTCACAGATCAGAATAGAGCTAGAATTTCCAATAGCAGGCAACAGCAGCGAGGAAGAGGGACTGTCACAGACAGGTCACACGTCAAGTGCAGCAGGAAACGAACGCAAGCAAACCTCGCCGACTGGATGGTCGAGCGATACAAACGTTTCTTTACTTTTTCAGAGAAAACGAGATGATCCACCACGTGAAGTGCTCGACTGCAGAGAGTCGACGGTGGGCCGTAAGAGAAGGAAAGATAGCGTTGGGAGAACGTTGGTGGTAGACAATCGGCGCTGTATGCGTCGGTAGGTCAACTAATTGTGTGTTTTATGTAGGTAGAGAGAAGGTACGCCGCTCGCAGGGCGTGGACGACAATAGCAGAGAGATAGAGGGAGACGGTGAGTGACAAGCAGAAAACAGCAACACAGCCAGCTGAGGTGTGAGACGTCGTTGACGGTGGAGATGACAATGTCAGTGTAGGCTCTGGCCAACTGTACGCCGCGCCTGTTGCAATGCACGTGCCGATATCGGAGACTGCTGCTGCTGCGGGTACGAGTGCACCGCACGAGCACATGCACACATAATAATATGTAAAATAATACCTCTGCACAGCAGACCTGGATATGTGGTGGCCGGCATTGTTGATTATTTACTTAGCATAGCATCATGTCTCATACTACCAGTACTACTGAGCGTTAGTGCCAGCAGTAGCAGATGATGATGATGAGGAGTGTCCGTTTTGACGATGCCGTGCCCTTCCATTCTCCTCGGCCGGAGGGTTGCCAAGGCGCTCGGGCAGCGGTGACGTAGGCGGGCTGAGCGTGGTGTCATCGTCGGTGGTCATTTCGTCATCGCTGCGACTGTCGCCCTTGACGTGGCCGGAGAGCACCGAGTTGCTGATGACCTTCCAGATCAGATAAGACCAGAAGACGTGCAGGACGAAGAGCAGCGACAGCAGGCCAAAGAAGACCTTGTGCAGCGGCCATGGGCCATACTGCTTCGGGCAGTGGTACTGCACACAGGAGCACGTACACGTTCACGCACACCCACACGCACGCACGCGGCATATCCAGAAAATACAGCTAAAGCAACGACGGCATTTCCCCGTGACAGCAGCACGTAATACAAAATGCGAACAAGACTGCCACTGTCACAGAAATAGAGGTCAGAAGTGCCATTCCCAGAGCACTGCCAGCTGTCATCGATACCAGTGATCAGTGAACAAAATAATTAATGACCGGGGAGCGTTAACCCCCAACCACGGTCAGCATAAGTGCAGCCCTGTCATGATTCCTTATACCGAAGTCGTGTATAAAAGCCGCGGCTTATATGACCTTTTGGGGAAATTTTGCAGGCTTCAGACAAGCTTCTATACAAGACAGGTATTTCTATGTATGTCAACACTAAAACCAGGCGTATGTGCCGACAGTGTATCTGGAAAATCAGGCTTGTATTCAAAATAGGCTTCTATATGAGACAGACTTTAATACAAGACACTACGATATCTCATGTATGATGGCAATGGTTTCTTCGTCTACGAAGCCCATTGGTGGTTCCACACAAGCATGTCTGAATCCTCTCCCCTAATTTTACCGTCATCAGGAATTCCACAGAGACGCCTGCCATCATGTGCAGCACTGGCAAGGTGGAACATCCTCTTATACGAAGCGCCAAGAGTCCTCAACAAGCCCATTCCCTCCACGCCCCTCAACTTGTTTCACGCGGGAGGAGGGTCCAGCACCATCGACGTACCAGTTGCCAGATGGTCGGTAAGTGACACTCCGAGTACATAGAAGCACACTGAGCAACAACGCAGTTTGCACCCTCGGCACCTCACACAGCCATCGCAGCATAGTTGTGAATCGCACCAAAACAGAGAGAGCACTCTGGATCTCAGCGTACTCGCGTACATTACTTGTTCATACCATATTTGACAATGCCCTTTGGGCCCCCCCCCCCCCCCCCCACACACACATACACACACAAGTGGTGTACTTGAATGCATGGATTCACCACAGGCATTAGCGTAAAGAAAACATTCTATCCCCGGTGCCCAGCAACGTACCCAGACGGAATGCAGCAGGTACGCCGGGAACACGTAGAGACGGGTGATGTAGAAGAGGACGGCGAAGAGGATGAAGAACAGCTCCGTCAGCTTGTCCTTGAGCCAGTGAGAGCCAAGCTCACGCTTGTGTCGCGTGTAACCGGTGATCTGAGCACCGGCGAGCAACAACAACAACAACAACAACAACAGCAGCAGCAACAACAACGAAAGAACAACAGCAGTGTACACATCCAGATAGAAACAACTCGTCGTAACACAAACTGTTGACATTTTTCGACTCGTGCGCAACTGTGGCTGCACTGAGGTTGAAATTTTACGACTCGCCTGACTTTTAGTTGTGTGGAGAAATCGTGCTGACTGGACAGGGCCCTCTCGGCCGGGGGACATTGTTCATACGGAAAATAACTAATATAAATCATACTAGTATGTGATACGAGGGGCCTACTCATTACCTAGTGCACTTCATTTTGGTCCGGGTGGACCCAGTTTGCCCCGGAAGTCCTTCCGTACGTACTCTAGGTGGACAAAATTTCGGCGCATTCAAATTTCAGCCTCCCAGGGCTAAAACACATTTCGGCTGCATTAAATTTTCGCCCTGTACTGCTGCCGCCTGTATACAGTGCCACACTGAACATTGGAAAACAAAATTTCGGCCGCAACAAATTTTCGGCCAAACATGACCAGGCCGAAAATAGCCGAAAGTAAATCTGCGCCGAATATCTGTTGACTCACAGTACACGCACAAAAGCACGCGTCCCCATACACAGTAAAACCCGTGTTTGCCCGGCCCTGTACCAAGCGGAATCCTGTGTTGACCGGACAAATTCCCATGCACCAAAGTGCTGTGGGTCGACTCGCTTCCCTGGATCAAGCGGAATCCTGTCGTATCAGGACAGTTTCTGTTGTACCAAGGGCGCCCAGTAAGTGCAGGTTTTACTGTACATGCAAGCACACGTTCACAAGTCAGCACGTGTGCTAACATATGAACAGAAGCTATCACTCAATCTCAACTAACACCAGGTAGATTATTACATAATTCATCAACTGACATATTGACACCGACACGTGCAATTGATGTCAGAATCGTGTTTCACCCAAGTCTGGCAGGCAATGTCCATGCAGACCGTACCAACAAAAAAGCACATGAAGACTGGCCACCGCACCCGTGAAAGGTGCGCACATCCATACTTGATGCACGTGCTTATGCATGAGCGGAAAAAGAACTCTCGATTCTGCCAAAAACAGCGACTTTTCGCCATATAAGCACAAGTCCGGCACTTTTGTGCGCGCGTGGTGTGATGGAAGTACGGTATACGGTACTTTGTTGACATCTGATGTCATTACTTTCTCAGCAAGGTGGCAGATGTCCATAATATATGCCCTACACAGGACATCCCCCCCCCCCCTTCAATGCAACAAATATGTCGTCATAGATAAAGCAAGGTCGACACGATTCAATATCTAATTTCATTTCAGAAGCACTGATCGCGCCATGATGCATGGAATTCGCCCGCACACCTATACACGCACACACGCGCATGCTCATACAAACATGCACACACACGCACCCCTCCCCCCCCCCCACACACACACCGGTATACACGCGCACACATACACACACGCACACCACCACCACCACACGCGCACACACCACACGCACGCACACACACACACACACCGGTATACACGCACACGCAACATACCTTGGCCAACTCCAGCCACGGGTCCGCAATGTCATGACACAGCATGATCAGCGCACCGATCGGCACGTAGTTCACCGAGAACGATAACGATATCAGACCCAGCGTGGCGATATGATGGATCAACATCTCCCAGAAGTCCTTCTTGCGTTGCTCAAAGCAGTGCGAGATCGTCAGTGACAAGTAAAAGCTCATCTCTCCCATATAGTAGCAGAACTCCTCCAGATCAACGTAGCGATGCGGATACTGCCGCCAGCAGTCTTCCACATCGTAAAAGTACGACTTGCGCGGCACCGTGTACCAGCCGATGAACAGAAGAGAGAAGTAGCCGCATGCTCGCCAGCTACTGTCCAGGAACTTCACCATCTTGTTGGGCAGCGCAGACAGGCCGCGCTGCCTGAACCAGCGCTGCACTTTGCGCTCTGTCCATCCTGTGGCCTTGATCAGGGCCGAGATCTCCGCATCTTTCGGGTTGCCGCGGCACTCCTTGAACAGTCGCTCCCCCAGCTCATTGGCTACCGGTTTCGGAACCACACGTTCATTGATTTCGAAATAACGTCCAATGGGACGCGTGATGAACTTGGAAAACAAATGGCGTACAACTAGAAGTATCAGGGCCAGAGAGATCACGACCAAATAGTGCTGTGGCAGCGGCTTGATTCCGTCCTCGCCCCGAAGAACCAGCTCCCACGTAACTCCTTTCGGCAGCCAAAAAGGCTCACCGAGTGTCCAGATATCACTAAATTCCCACTGTGCAACCATCTCCTGGTGTGAAACAAGAAGACAGCTCTCGGAGAGGGATATATTATGGAGTCCTCAATTTCAGTTGTAAGGCTTCACGCCCTGCCGCCGTTGCCGGGTAATGGTCAAGACCTAAACTATTTCGGTCAAGCAAGAATTTTAATTGTTTTGAAAAAGGAAAGGAAAATAATTCTTTCGCCCACGACAGTACGCACAGCATGCACGCGCACCGTACAATCGAGATGGCGTCCTAGCTGTACGACTACCAGACTACGCCGCGTTATGATTTCGGCTTGAGACAAACCTGCTTCTTGGCAGAAACTGTAGAACTACGAATAGAAGTAGAAGAAAAAGGGCCAAAGAATTTTCTTGTGTTGTGATGGAAGCGTAAGCTAGCCCCGTACAAAATGTAGCTTCTCGTTGGCCTGAGAGTCTTGAGCGAGTTGAGGCCTGAGGCAAAGGAGTAAAATAGGTAGATCATACTACTACGTAGATGTCGGGGCCAAGGTCTACCGGTAGCCAAGCCCTGTATAGGCTGTAATAGGCTGTATGTGCATGGGGATGTGGTCAGACTCATCGAATGACTAGATCTGTGGGAGTCTGTGCCAGGCAAGGGAGTCGTCAAAATATTTTGACGACTCCATGGTCTGTGCACGTGTCAAGAGTAACTCTTGTTTTTCGGAAGTACTACGAAGCGTGTTTGCAGATAACCAGTGAATCAGTGATGATAAGCAGTTTCCCGAAGTGTTTTTGGAGCACTTCGATCTTCACTCTACAGTCACACCATCTGATCAGCTTCTGGTATGTTCTTTTGTAACCCGCCAGTGATTATCATCATGAACATGAGCTCCATGCATGATCTCCTCCATCAATACCAAGCTCGAAGCCGGCCGCCATCTAGATCTGCCACCAGCTCCCTAGCAATGGGTGTAGCTGCTTTTACGCCTTTTGGCTCTTGCGTTGGTCAGTGATTTCGCAATCAACCCGAACGAAGAAGACAGAGCAGCGTCTTCTTCGTTTGAGTTGATTGCGAAATCACAGACACTGAGATGTGGGAGCTGGAGTGTCTTTCAAGATGAAAAAATGGAAAAAGAAGATGCCTGGTCCCAGACGGGAAATTCCCTGCTTTGCAAACAAAAAAGTCCACTTGCAGCACCAGGAGTTGTAAAATACCGATTCCCTGACGTGCTGAATGTGCTGATGGCATTTACTAGTATGGGATATGGCAGTGATGTGCCGGTGACCTCATCAATCATGTCTCATGATCACGATTTTTCGAAACCTGCTTGCTTGCTTCATTGTACAAAAGAAGTGAATGCAATCAAGCCCGTTTCGCTCCAATATTATTGGCAAGATTTCAAAGTGTTTGCGAGGGAACATTGCAGCATTCTGCCTGCTGTGTGAGGTCCACTTCACTTGGCCATAATGGCGACACCCTACCCCACTGGTGCGCCCAGCGCCCCGCCGCCGTCGAGTGGCGAGTTCAAAACTCAAGTCCAGCTCTTGATCTCGTGCACGAATCTTGTGGACAAGGACATCTTGTCCAAGTCGGATCCGATCTGCGTGGTGGATATGCTCCAGGGAACAATCGACGCTAGCCGTGGAAAATTCACGGAGGTCAGACGCGTTGTTTTGTATTCGGAAAATCTGGGAACAAAGAGGGGTGTTTTGGGGAATCACTACGTTGAGGTCTTGTTATGAAAAAATTAGGCTAGAAAAATCAATATGAGAGCATGCCACGCATTCCATACAATATTTGATCTGGTCAATATAACAGTGGACCTAGTCAACGACAGCTCCGCTTTGTAACAGTGGATCTAAATTGTATGTCGCTTCCATGACACATACGTAGACTCAGAGTTGCAACAAAACTGGCACTGGCTGTGTGCCTTGTCATTCTGTGTGGCACATACATTTACATTACTACTGTCGTGAACATGGCAATACGGTCGAATGACTCGGGGCCGGCGCCCTCAGTGCATACAGAACGTTGCATGCATGCAGTGCACATGCTGATCGTATGCGTACTCACGGCTGCATGGCCAGCGCACTGGGGCCGCTTAACCTCAGTCTGGATTTCCATGTCCACGACAGTAGCATACAGGTTTTACACTGTTATAGCCGGATATCTGTACAAGGAAGTACTGGCACATCCGATACTGTAAAAGGCAGACATTTTCGGTGGTGTTTTATTTTCGGTAACTTCGGTGCCGAAATTTTTACCGAAAATAAAACGCACCGAAAATGTCTGTAGTAGTACACTTACCTGGAAAACGGGTTAACCGAAAATTTCCCTCCACCGAACCGCCGAAATTGGAGAATACCGAAAATATTACACCACCGATTTTTTTGGCTTTTACAGTAACTAAGAGCACATAACCCACAAGAATATGCAACTCGCTCATACAGTGCTGTCCCCGCGGAATTTCAAGTTGGCGTCGTTTTTATGATGCGCTGCTCCTCGCACAGTGATTTGCGACATTTGTAGAGGAGTTCCAACGCATTACAGTTGCACGTATCCTTGAACTAGTTTGCACAGTACCACATGCGGATCTGTCCACCACAGATCAAGGATACGTCTCGTACTACGTGTACGACGTGCATTGCATCTTCAACACGACAACTTGAAATTCTGTTGGGACAGCGCCCATAGTGGGGCTGCACGTTCTAGGGGTTTTTGTGGTGTAGTGCTATGCTTTGGGTGTTGGTTTGGCACATGTGTGTTTCCCCGATTATGTTCGTATGTACAAGAAAATTACCCCCCCCCCCCCCCCCCCCCGAGTTTGCAACTACATGTATGCGCGTGGTCTTTGAAGGCGAACACTCACTTCGCATTTTCCACGTCCACTTCACGTCAAGCACATTTCGCATCACATCCAACAAAGCTAACGCATGCACACAGTCTGGAGATCTGCGTTGATTTGTATTAACCCTTTATTGGCTGGCTCATACATTGATCGAACACCGATGATCGATGGAGTAAACATTTTGAAATTATCGTAACTTTGGTCAAGTCTCGGTCTCTTGGAAAGATCAAAATATGTAGGTCGAAGAAAAAACTCTCAGCTGTCGCCTCGACCAATTTTCAAAGCGATAGGAAAAGCGGTTCTTGAGTTATAGCACTCGTAATGTTGGCCCCGGGAAATTTGCGCTCAGATCGAGATGCGTGGGTCAACGGCTGAGATTTCCCCTGCTTACGTCACCTGTTGACAAGGCTACACCGATTCAACTTCAAAGTAGGTTCCCGGGGTCTCTACCAAAATATTTGAGTTAGATACGAGCAACAGGACTGAAATGGTGGATAGAGATCGATGTCGAGCGTGAGCCCAGCGCTGGTGCGCCTTCCCTGGCTTGCAGTGCTGGGCCAGTGCATCCCGTGGAGCCGAGTGTAGGCTCATCGCGCTCCTCTCGTCAAGGGCTTTCCAGGATGCCCAAGATCGTGGAATTTGTCCAGTGCAAACTAAAGTTACGTCCAATTTAGGTACAGATTTGGCGATTGCGTGGGCTTGCTTATATTTTAATCGGCCAATAAAGGGTTAACCACCGTGTGACTTTCTGTCGGGGACCGGAGTGCTATTTTTACTACTCTGTCACCACCAGGACTCGAACCAGGGACCGTGAGGTCCAGCAGGAAAGAAAGTGTTAGGAATACAGCACCTCATTAGCAGCATTGTTATCTGAGAATTAGCCCGGGGTCGTGAAACTCGGAGTTGCTCATACAACCGAAACAACCTTACCCCCGCCTTGCTAAGTTGTGCACTGATATATTTGTATAGCGGTGCCTGACCATTCTCTGTTTCCCAGAGTATCGTTTAGATCTCAGGCAAAAGAAAGGTTTGGAATTCACGTATGATAGTTGGCAACAGGGAAACCTGGTACAGCGTGCAGGTGCTATTCACGCTGTGCTGACTTCAGTGGAGTTTGAAAGTGCTGAGGAAAAGCCTTTTTCTGGTTTGTACATACAGTTCGTGGACAATTCGACTTGAATGCACAGTGGTACAGTACCGTACGCACTTGATTAGAAGCCCCTCTCGAATAAAAGCCCTCTTGAATAATAGCCCCCCTACAAGGACTGTTTGAAAAAATACAAGCCCCTCTCGAATAGAAGCCCGGACTACTATTCACAAAGCATGGGGTGACCGGGTAGTGCCATGTATGAAGGTCAAGTGTGCAAAAAACACCCCGTGCATGTTCATATTGGTACATGTTCTGGTCGACGTAGTGTGTGCAAACTAGCTCGGGGCCGAGTTGCTGTGAATATGAAAGTTTTAAAGATTCAATTGGAATACTGGTATGGAATGAAACAATAAAAGCCCCTCTTGAATAGAAGCCTCCTCAAAATTGGTATTGAAAAAATAGTACGGTATTTGCCATTGGAGGCTGTGGAAGGTTGCCAGAGATTTTCTTCGTATGCATACGCACGGTCTATCCCAAGTGCCTTGTACCGAGATGTCAGTTTGGAGAAGATTGAACGACTCTTTGGGATGTTATGGGTTGGTGTGCTAACTTGTCTGTGTGTGGTATGTGTGTGTGTATACATGTATGTTCGTCGCGACGTGTGCTTTTGCAGGTGGGTAGAACTGAGCACATCAAGGACAATCTGAACCCATCCTTCACCAAAGCCATCACTGTAGATTTTTTCTTTGAGGAGATCCAGCACCTGCACTTCATTGTTTACGACGTGGACAAGCCTGGGCAGAACCTGAGAGCTGGTGGTGGAGAGTTGCTCGGTGAAGCCAAGACACAGCTGGGAAAGGTCAGTGCACGGGTGTATTCAGGTGTGACAGGGGGGGGGGGGGGGGGGGGGAGAGACAGACAGAGACAGAATAGGAGAGAGACAGAATAGGAGAGAGACAGAAAGAGAGGCAGAGAGACAGAGAGAGACTTGTGCGTGCGTGCATGAGTGTACATGTGTGTACTTCATGTGTTGGCGTATGTATCAGCGGGTCACATGTACAAGTACACAGACTGAATTTGTGTTTCTGACCACGAATTTCACAGCTCTTTGAAGTTTGAATACAAATTGAATCTGTGCTCACATCACTACATGCATGGGCAAATGGGAAAATTCAAAATTCTTTGTTCAAGCCTGCATTCCAGCTGTGATTTCGGCCGGTCAAAAACTGGTTTGGGTGGCTCTGGCGAATCACTTTTGCAATCGCGGCTATGGAGCAGCATTTGCCATGACTCGACTTTCGGCCTTTGTAACTTTGCCTCTGTATGTTCTATCCAGGGTGCTTTGTACTGAAGTGTTTCACGTGTGGAGTAAAGCTGTGTTCACAGGCGCGAGGATGCGGTACGCTTGCGGTTCATGCGTGCCCAAACGCGCGTTCAGGCTTTCACAAAAAACAGCAATTTGAGTCGTATTTAGCGCGTGCGACACCTTCGAGTACTAATTTTTTGGCCCCGCCGGTGAAAGTGACTGGCATGTACGCTGAATTCCAACATGTTGGAATTTCCATTTCGGCGCGTTTCCGTACGCATGGCGCCCCAAAAGCCAGCAAAATACGCACAAACGTGTGGTTTCACGCATACACGCGCCAGTTGTGAACACAGCTTTAGTGGTCTGTTGACAGACTCATTTTGCAACTCAGTCAACCTCTATCACTCTCTCTCCCTCTCTCTCTCTCTCCCTCTCTCTCTCTCTCCCTCTCTCTCTCTCTCTCTCTCTCTCTCTCTCTCTCTCTCTCTCAATCTCTCTCTCTCTCTCTCTCTCTCT